AAAATACCCCTTTTATAATGGTGGTGGTCGACGATGGTTTAGATGGAGGTCCTATGGATCTGGGTAAATCAAGTAGGGAATGTGGGGATAATTTTGTCTTTTTTAGAAAAGGAGATGGAATAGAATTGAATTCTGTATCAACTGTGATGAAATGACTAAATTCATGAATGATAGAATGTGTGGAATTTAATTCCATTCCATAGATAAACCAAACGCTTGAATGGAATTTAGTTACGAAATTGATCATTCCAATTCATTCGGGATCCCGCAAACCAAACACCTCTTTAAGATTTTGAAATCCCATTGCAGTGGTTGGTATTCACATGATTTCATAAGATTTATATGTAATAAATTTTCAATTATGTTAAAAACATTTGTTTGTAATAATCAATTAATAAAAAAAGTATCTTAATTATTTATATTTTTTTTATAATTTATTTATAAAACAGTGGAATTCATTTTCATTCAAGATCTTACAAACCAAAACACCGGAGATTTCAAATCCTTCCACGAAATCCAAATCCTTCAAAACATAGACATATCAATCAAGTTCTACAAACTAACATCTCGCCAAAGAGTAAAAACGACACCATTTTCAACCTTATAACATAAAGTATTACGGATTTGGGTTACAAAAACGTCTGTGCAATACTCAATTTCATTCGGTCGTTTTTACGAAACCGAAAAGTCTTGGATGCTATCGAGTTGCTTTCGTGTTAACTTTATTTTCTTGAGGGATGATATTGAAAAAGGTTTAGAAAGCTATCTTGTTTGTGTTTTCCAGCCCAGAAAAATGGGACCTTAGTGCACCAAATTTTTTCTTCTTATTTTTTATTAACCTGGGATATCCAACCCGTTAAACGAACCGACTAATCTCAAGATGACCATCTGCTTTGCAGATAGCCTGGAGTCAACGCATTTGAACGGCCACAAGGGGATTTTTATTTCTCCTTCGATTTGAACCTGGAACCTCCTGGTACTTTTAATCTTTGGAGGCAAACTCAAACCAATCAAACACCACCCTTACGGTTTTCTTTTTACTTTGCATTGCATTGCATTTGACCTCTTCAACTTTCACCCCTTTTGAGGTAACAAAAGAAAAGGTCAACATGTTGATTTTCAAGATTTGATATTAGGATATGTTGGTTTAAGGGGGTGTTTGAGATTGTTTGTTTAAAACAATTTATGTTTTTCTGTAAAGTGCTTATTAACTTATGTAGTATCAAACCTGGTTTTGTAAAAAGTGTTTGGATTGGCTTATAGCGGTACCAAAAAGTAATAAGCTGATAAGTCGTTTTTTAGTATTTGGAAAATTTTGCTTATATATGTAAAATGACCAAAAATGACAGTCTTTCATATTATTGACTTACGAGAATGTTTGGGATTGCTTATTAACTTGTTTGATTTTTTAACATGTAAAAATTTATTTTTCATCATTTATAATAATATATCTGACAAAAAATTATATCAATAAGATTAATAATTTATATCAATAAGATTAATAATTAAAAAAATTAATAAAACATGGTTAAAATGGTAAACTGATAATAAACAGTTTTTCATAAATTAGAAATGATTAACTTATCAAAAACTGTGTATTACCGGTTTGGCACCGGTATAAACAATATTATTTTTCCTCATCCAAACACGAGTATTTAACTTATCACCGGTGTCAGACTGAAATAAGTCAAAAAAACACCTAAAATAAGCAATCCGAAACACCCCCTTAGTGTTTTTTGTCTTCCATTTCTTTTACACCCAGTAATTCATACAGATTATTTTTCATGTGTTGTTTTTATGTGTGAAAACGCATTACTTATACAATGTTGTTTCATATGTGAAATTTTCTTTGACTACTGTTTTCTATGTACAAAATAGTTTTCGACGTTTCACACATGAAATAACACAGTATAAATACTATATTTTCACACAACAACACATGGAAACTGGTTTATAAGTTTCTACGATCTATTTGTGTTTGCAAATGATTATGCATCTACATCCTAATGCCCTATTTTTCTAATTAAACGTAAATATAGATTCGTTTTTGTATAAAAAGAATATTTTCTTTTTCCGATTTTGAAGTTAAATGAAAACTTAACTGACAATCGAAAGTCAAACGTGAAGTTTATATCTGGTATAAACCCTAGTAACATCGTCTGTGTACCTCTTTTGACGTGAAAATTGGTCCTAATGTTTCTCAATACTGTATACAATAATACAGAAAAAGACTGCACCAGAATACGTCGTTTATACATAAATAAATAACCTTCAAGAAATTACAGCAAATTAAAAGACACTTCAAAAAGAATATGTACTTGATCCTTGTCGTCGACCATCTTTTGTTTTTCATGAAAAATCGAATCGGGTTTGTTTCATAACATTGTCAACCATTTTTCTTAAAGGATTTAGGGTTCAGAATTTAGGATTTAGATGTGTAGTGACGTTCCAATTTTTTTGGAGGCCCTGCTATATTCAAAACTTTTGATTACATTGCACAAATGTTACACAAATGAAATAACAGAGAATATATGCTAAGAAAAAAAATGGGCTAAACCAAAAACGATTAACAATCTGAAACTAAACCTAAACCATTAATAATTTGAATCTAAAACAAAAACAATTAATGGTTTGAACATAAATAATTTCAACTATAGTTTTACATAGGTCGATAAAAAAACACCACACATGTAACACCCCCATTCCGAAGGAAGGGAGGTTACTTCAAAACGTAACGGAACGCTATATAAAACCCCCAAAATATAGTCTCCAATACAAAATAAAATCTTCCATAACGAAATTGAATATAACCTCAAATAAGATATAAAGGTCTCCAAACAAACTATTTCCAAGAAAAGCTAAAAACAACCAAAGAAATCTAATCTAATAGCCAAAAGAAAAAGATTCTAATAAGCGAAATAACATAGTTCTAAACCTCTCGAAACCTTGAAACCAAGATMCTGGTCTACTCTCTGTCACCAGACTTAGCCGCCCCCTTGATTACCTGCCGTGAGGAATAGAAGAAAACACGGCTGAGCCAAATGCCCAGTGAACGGATAAACAAATATAAAAAAAAAAAACGGTATTACAAACATGCCAAAATCGAACCAAACGAGTACCAGAATCTTAGAAAATCAACAAATAACATAATCATACGAAATCATAAGAAGGGACACATCGAGCTCGAAAACGCATATACTTGCATATTAATTAACATGACAAGTGTCAGACATATGGCCACACAGGCCTGTACGTTGGACTGCAGATCCACACGTACCAAATGTGAGATGTGGCGTTGGACACTACACCGACATCCACCCTACAAACGAATCACATRTGCTAGGGCCGACCCATACGCCTCCTAAATCGAATATCCATCACACCAAAATAGCTCTCACACGAGCACAAAAGAGGAGACGCCGTGGVCTGATCACACTGCCACGGTTAGTGTCACGCCATCGGTGCCATAATGACGTGCCTATGGTACCCCCATAGGTGGTTAGTAGCTCGAGTTACCCAGAATTGAGTTGTCACAACGAATGTGACRTTAAATGTCTTACATATGGTCAATAGATAACAAAGTCACACGAAAAGTCAAACAAAGAATTATGTTGAATAACAAGTAGGCATAATATAAAGAGGCTCAATTCGAAGAATACATAATCGATCAAAAGTACCAACATATGTACTTTTAGAGGTAAAAAAGCATACCAAAATGTTACCGAACAAATAAATGTGTACTAACTCGAATAACTCAAATAGCATGATTAGGACA